ATGGAGAAGCAGCATTGAGGTCCTATGTTTTACTTATCTGGAACAAACTCCCAGAAGACTGTAAAAGTGCTGAAAGCAGGAGTTCTTTAAAATCAAAGTTTAAAAAGCCCTTTGTTTAAAGCTGCCATTGACTGTTGAAGTTAAACTGTTAATTGGGTATATTAGTTTAAAGTTGTGTTCCAACTGTTTTACTTTATCATGTTTTTTCTGCATTTGTTCTGCTTTTTTGTGCTCCGATTGATTTATTTGTTCTGCACAAGTTTTTGCTGTTGTTTTTCTTCTATTTTATTATCCAATTCATGTAAAGCACTTTGAATTGTCTGTGAACTGAATTGTGCTATACAAATAAAATTGCCTTGCCTTGCCTTTCCTTGCCTTGCCTTGCCTTGCCCTTGCCTTGCCTTGGAGAAGACGTGGATTGCATGCTCTTTAGCACACAGACTGATGAGTATTTCTAGATCTAAACAGAGGAATGTTTACAGTTCACATAAAACTTGGTTATTTTCCATTGTGTTTTAAGGTGTGTTCTGATGTATGAGGTTAAATGCAATTCAGTGTCACTGTTTAAGATTTAATCATCAAGGCCCAAAATAGAGGAAAAAACCTCAGGTTTGATGCTCTTTCACTTTAATTTAACTCAACGGAGTCTTGCTAAATATATTGGGTAAATGTTATTGTTTTTTAGCTTGTTATTATAAATTAAATAAAGTTTGCATGACTGCTGCAAATTCTCACAAATTTTTGCACTCTTGACATGAAGAAGTCACAACTAAAAGGGGAACTTGTGTGTAAGTGGCCAATCACCACTTAAAGGAAAAAAACCCTTATCAATATACCTACCAAGCTGTTCATGGAGACTTGTAGACTTTGTACTTGAGGCCCTTAAGGCTGATCAAGAACCACTAAGAGACCAAAATGGAACCAGCAACATCAAGAGTTTGTCTCTACGGAAGTGAACAACTGCCTGTTGACAGGGCCCAGAAGTTGTTAGATATTTTCTATAAAAACAGGGCACTGCTAAGTCAGTTACAGTCGAGAATAACAGATGAAGGCTTTGAAGGTTGCTGATAGATGGTCCTTATTCATTATGTCTTGTTTGCTGCCCTGATAGCTGACCTAATTGCTCACTTAATTCACCTGCCCAACCCTCCCCGGTTACTAATGATCATTTATCTTATCCACCTGCTCCTGCTGCTTTATATGCATCTCAGCCCAGCTACTGAGGCCAGATCATTGATTGTTTGTTTGTTTGTTTGAGTTTCAGTTTCTATTGGAGATCATGGCTGATTTCCAGAGTTCACGTTTCCATTCTCGGAGGCCAGTGGTTAGAGAGAGTTTTTTTTATCTGGTCTTAGTGCTTCCTGATCATGTCCTGGCTCTTTTCTGCTGAGCATGCCCTTCTCCTCTGTTGGATCAGTGCACGGAGCTAGTTTAAAGTTCCGTGGTGTTCGTGATGTCGTGTCTTGTCCTGCCTCTCAAATACTTTGCCTGCCTGTCTTCATCCGAACGTTTCTGCCTGAACTCTCTGTGAACTCATCTGCCTGTTCTGGTTCTGATAGGAACCCCTGACTGGGCAACGGGCTCATGGACCTCAGAACTGTTCTGTTCTGAACTGTTTTCCCTGACCTGGCTCGGACTCCTGCCTCTTCACTGGGACTGCAGCATGTGGTTCACTCTGGGCGGCTCCTGCCGCATCTCGTTTGGCTGTCGTTCAGCTGGACCCTGCCTATTCTCGAGAGGATGGGCTTAGCTGTTAAACTAGGTAAGTGACTCACATGGATAATCATCTTCCATCAGATTATCGTGGTCACTTACCTGTGTTTCTCTCCCTAAACCAGAGTGCCTGTGAAGGTTGGTGCCCCGCCTTCCCCCGCAACCGCTGCAGATCCACAGCTCCACGTTCCGTTTTGTCTCTGTTTTATTAAACATCATATTCAAATTCAAACTTCTGAAAGTAATATTATTTTTATTTTTTTATTGATTAACACTAAATTAATTTAATCACAGCAAACATATTAGTTTTAGGTAAAAATAATGATCCATGATTATTCTTTTCTGACCGGACTTTTCCTTTGACTTTCCCACTGTGTGTCTCACCTGAATTCTTGGTCCTACATTCTGAGTCCATTATACCTTAGTAAGAAATAAAAGGTTTCTAAAGGTTCTCCAAATCTGATCTGCTAATAGTTGTGAGGCACGTATCTTTAAAAAGGGGAGTAAGTTATAGTTCTGGCATCAAAAAGATAAAAAGAACGATTAACAGTTTAATTCCTCATTCTTCTTTATTTAGCAAGAATCCTTCTTGATATTTCTCGGCTTTCTCTCCATCTTGCTTTTCCTTATCTTGTTCTCTTTAAAATATTTGTATTTTCTAACATTCTTCCTCACTCTGAAACCACTGGTTTAAAAAAAAGAATACAGAGAGGCAGTAGATAGATGCAGGATGTTTATTGAGAAACAGAAGCTTATTAATAAGAATAATTCATAAACAGTGGAAAGAGACCTCTGATATATTTTATCACCCTCTTCTTACATAAACACATAACCTAAAAACTTTTTTGAAGGAATAAGGATTCAATGCTAATAATAAATTTATATATTAATATATTTCTGGCCATTTTGAGCAATTAATTGACCCCACAAATGTGATGCTCCAGAAACTCAATCTGCTCAAAGGAAGGTCAGTTTTGTAGCTTCTGTAACAAGCTAAACTGTTTTCAGATGTATGAACATGATTGCACAAGGGTTTTCTAATCATCAATTAGCCTTCTGAGCCAATGAGCAAACACATTGTAACATTAGAACACTGGAGTGATAGTTGCTGGAAATGGGCCTCTATACACCTATGTAGATATTGCACCAAAAACCAGACATTTGCAGCTATAATAGTCATTTACCACATTAGCAACGTATAGAGTATATTTCTTTAAAGGTAAGACTAGTTTAAAGTTCTCGTCATTGAAAAGTACAGTTCTTTTCCTTCAAAAATAAGGACATTTCAATATGACCCCTAACTTTTGAACGGTAGTGTATATATTTATATATATATATATATATATATATATATATATATATATATATATATATATATATATATATATATATATATATATATATATATATATATTGTGTCTTTTACCATTACATGATCATAATTTTTTTTTCAAGTAACTATAATAACAGCAATAGTAAACATAAGATTCAAAAGAAAATGCAGGAGAAAGAAATTCAAAGAACAAACTTACAATGGTTTAGTTCAAATGCTTATTCAACTACATCTGCTATATAATCACACCGCTTTATTAAAAATAAACAAGCAAAAAATATCTTCAGGTAAATTCACTTTTACAAAGATATTTCTCTTTGACGCATATTGAAAAAGAAGATTGTAAATTTAAAATGTTTTACTAGCCTCTTTAAACTAAAAAAAGAAAGGTCTCAGTTCTAACAGTGCTGTATTTCTGCTATATTGCTCTGATTTTATATTAAAAAAAAAAAGAATCTGACTGTTCTTCAGCAGAGATGTGGAAGTAAAGCTCACTTAGATATATCATCCAGGCATTTTAAAGCTTCTGCTTTAGAAATAGTTTTCCAGTTTTCAGGAATCTCACCTGAATCATAAAATTTTAAACGATACTTCTCCTCCAGATTTTTTTTAAATCTGCACACAAACCATTTCCAGTAAGCCAGCTTAGACTTATCAGGGGTGATTCTCCATGAAGCATACTCTGGACCAGCAGACCTGTATTGCTTACAGGGGATGGGTTTCTTGGAGTTACGATAAGGGTAGAAAGTGAGATTGCTTGCAACTCTTGATGTGCAGAAGTCGATGGACATGATGTTTGAGTTTGCATGGTACATTCCACTGACTGCAGAGGACCGATGGAAAGGTACGCTGTGGTCATCCGGGCTGTGGTCTTCTAGGGTGTTAGTGCACACGGCTAAACAGAATGGACACTTTACCCAGCAGCACTTACACAGCTGACTAATGAGGATTTCTTCAGGCGTTTGCCTTGAGGTTTTCATTTCATCCTCTGAGAAACTTACAAGTTGCTCCTTTAATAATTTAAGCTTTTTATTGGCTTCTTTGCAGAGAAAGTCAAAATCATTAATGTCGCGGAAGTTCTTAAAACCTGTACTGTCAAATTTTAGCTGATCTTTTAGCAGAACAGATAACTCACTTAGCCACATTGATATACCCCCTCGTTGGGTTTGGACCTTCTGTGTTGCAGTAAATAGAGCTTGACTCACAACTGTGTAGATGTCCTCTACATTTTTCTGGTGTATTATTTTTGCTTTATCCTTGTAATCTGTGCTGATATGCTGGTGTACTTCTGCTTTAATGAAATCCTCTACATGGTCTCTTGGATGTTGTATGTACTTCATGAACTCATCAAAGTTCTCTCTCTCTGCGAGGGACCTCAGTACATTTTTCTCCAAGTCAAGCCTGTTTCCACTAAAAGCTGGGACATTACACTTCATTTCTCCAGCGAGAGCCATGGCAGTCTTAGTATAAGCAGTTTCAATGATAGACGGTCTCAGTTTTTCACATATCATTTCGCCAAGCACAACAGCAGAGGAGTTTCCATTGACGTAGATTTTGAAAATATTATAATAATGCATTTTCTTGCTTTCCAGATAGATGAATGCATCATTGTTATTTCTATACTTCTCCTGGGACTCAAGCAGCAAACCCTTGACTAAGTCAAAAACATGCAGAATAAGATCCACTGTGAATTCCTTTCTGAAAGCATATGACTCCAATTTGGCCACCTCTCCTTTGACAAGATGGACCATTTCTTGCAGATATGTTAATTGGTACCCATTAGTTTCTACAGGTTTCTTTTTTATTCTACTGATAGACTCTGTTGCAACCATGTCAATCATTTCCCTGATCTGTCTTTGATCACTGGACAGAGCTTCATGTGTGTTTGAACGGTTCAATGTAACACTTTTCCAGAAGGTTTTCAATTCAGTAAGTGGATTTGCTTGTTTGTTAGTTAGATTGTCTTCTTTTTTATAACTCTCTTGAGTGGTTTCCTTGTTTTTTTTGCATCTTAAAGTTATTTAAATAACTCGAATAGTCATCAATTTTTGGTATAACTTTATATCTCCCATTATCTTTGCATTCTTTAATGATTTTCTCCTCTATACCAAGGTTTTTAAGGATACTGAACAGATCATTTTCCAAGTTGATGTCCTCAATGGGCTTTAAACCTTTTGTTAAATCAAGCACCCAGTTTTCCCAGACTGAGTCAAACTCCTTTTTGAGTTCAGTTTCATCTTTGGCCTTGTCCTTTAGCTTTTCACTGATATCTTTGCTCTTCTGGAGGAGTTTCTCCTCAAACCCTTTCTTCATACTGTCCATCTTTTTCAAAGTGTTTTTTCGCTGAATCACTCCTTGCAGTTTTCCTTGGACTTCTCTCACTTGTTCATCATGAAACTCTTTGAGTTTGTTCTCAAATCGGCCTTTCCACTGAGCCAAAATGTCCTTTTTCTCCTCATTCTCAAAATATTTAATCATCTCTTCTTTGATTTCCTCACATGTTTTGATTGTTTCTGTACTAATAGAGCTTAAATCAAGCTTGTTCAGGTCTCCGTTTTCTATTCTGTTGTATAGCTGGTTTTCAATAGTCAACAAGTCTTTTCTGATGTGCCAAGTCCAGTTCCCATACTCTACCTCCATTTCTCTGTACACCGCCATTTCTAGTGTATTTTTAAAACTGAAAACAAAGTTTTCATCCAAGAGCGCCTCCCACAGGTCCTGAACATGTGCCTTAAGGTGCGAAAGACTGATCCCATTTGACCGTGATGCTTTGGAGAGAATATGTTTCCTCAGTTCTCGGATGCTCTCACTGTAACCTGGGTTTGGGGGAGCCATTGGTGGGCTTCCTTCCCAGAGCTGGGCTAAGTAGTGCACATCTTTCTTTATGTCAAACTCAATCATTTCGCTAAAGCAACTGACATCGCAGTCCTCTTCTTTGGCTGCTAGTTGGACCATTTGGTCTAGTTTTTCTTGAAGGCGTCTCCTTCCGTCCATGTTTCTCTCTGCTGCAGCAACATCTGTAACATTCTGGTGAACAAACACGCAACTTGGACTGACTCTAATTTTCTTCATCCTCATGAAAGCTTGAACCACAATCTGCAGAACATTTTGCATCTCAGTTGGATTTTCTCCAAAGATGTTGATTAAAGTCAAATTTCCAACTCCCACAACAAATGTTGCCAGTTCATTGTCATGATTAGGAGTAGTGGAACTTTCCAGCTCTAGAGCCCGAAGTCCTTCGGTATCCACCACTAGGAAGTAATCAAAGTTAAAGTCTTGCCTGATTTCCTTTGATATTTTGATCAGCTGCATGAAGGCCCCTTTGGTGCACCTCCCAGCACTCACTGCAAACTGTAGACCAAACATGGCATTCAGCATTGTTGATTTGCCACTACTCTGTAAGCCCAGAACTGACAACACAAACACCTTTAGGTCTCCCAGTTGCATTTTAACTTTGTCCAAAACACTGGAGATCCATTTCAAAGGAACATGACCCGCATCCCCATCCATCAATTCCAAAGGATGTCCAGAGATCAGCAGACATGCAGCCAGTTCAGGGTATCTACGCCACTCACCCTCTCTGGTCTCTCCATAGATTGCATTATGGGCTTCATAGATCTGTCCCATCTCTCTAAAAATGTGCTCCAAGCCAAATGTTGCAGACTGCAGTTGTTTTGATAAGCGTTCAAGCTCTTTTTCCTCTTTTTCTAAATTGTTTGGTTTATTGGGCCTGTTCTTCAAAGCCAGGACCTCAGACCACTTCCGGTCATAGCTTTGAAAGATTGAATAAGTAGCATCTGTGGAGAGGTCATCTGTTAGGATCTGAGTCCATTTCAGGAAATATTCTTTGTCTTTTAATGGGAGTGTGAAGAGGCTCTTAGTGAACAGCTTCATCAGATTACTGCAAGAAGCAGCACACTGTTTCTCTCGGATTCTAGTCATTTCTTGTTCTTTTTGGGATTTGTCATTTTCAATGTTTCCTGTGAGACGGTGGAGTTCTTTGTTTGTTTTGCACCACACATGCCACAAATGGCCTTGGCAGGGAAGAAACTTGTCCTTAATGCTTAAAATATTATTTTTTGGTAGCAAGTTAACTATTTCCACAGCAGCTAATTTTCCATTTTGGCACACATCATCAACTTCATCCACTTGGATCCCAGTGTTCTCAACCATGGTTTCGAGCTGGAAGATTGTTTTCAAAATCAAAGGATCATCTGAAGACAAAAGTTCTTGAATGATTCTCTTAAGTTCTTTAGAAACATCTGCCTGGTTCCTTTCTTTGAGCCCCATTTTGAATTTGCCCTTTTTGCTCTCCATTACTTTGCAGTCATCTTTAACAAGGAGGCAAATCAGAGGCTTTTTGGACCTCAGTAGGGCTGATATAACTGGCCAACTCTTGTCATCTTTTTGCAGATTGTTTACCATCACAACATTGATCGATGACATCTCAGTCAGTATTTGACGCTGCTTTTCAATCATCACAGCATCGCCATGAAGGTTACAGAAAGCGATGCAGTTATTGAAGGCATCATTGGGTTTTCCATTAGGGCAGTACCAGGTAATTTCAGCAACACCGTCTAATAAATGGCGAGTCTTGGTGCTACCAGGACTGTGTCTGTGGAAGAATGTGCTGTGGCGGTCATTGATCAAAGAGTTCATCAACTGGGACTTAGAGACTGAGAGTGATCCCAGGCGGAAAAAAGATACCAAGGGTGTTTTGGCATTGCAGATTTGAATATTCATTGTGGTGGTGTGTGAATCCCCTTTGGTTTCCTTCCATGTTTTAGTTATTTGTCTGAATGCCCAAAGAGGACACTCAATCTCCATTGTCAATGGGTCGGGAACAAGAAAAGGTAAAGCATACTGGCACTGTGAAAGCTTTGTCACCATGATCTGCCTGAGGTAGCTGTCCGAGCAGTGAAACACTGCCATCTGAACATCCATTGGATGGATATGAGTTTGAGCTGGCTCACTTGTTTCTGAACTGGAGCTCAAAAAATAGTCTAAGTCATTTTCATCTGAATCATTACCATCAGAGTCAGGTACGTGTTTTGCATGAGTAACTTGAAGACTTTCTTGTTTAACAGGAATGTATCTGGCTCTATGATCTAACTTTATCAACTTCTGAAGAAAAGAATACGCCAGATTTTTCTCAGACATGTCATGGTCCGGTGTTAAAGGTAGACCAATGTGAAGAAAATCTCCTGGAGACATTTTCCGTGGAAACTTTTCTTTTAGCTGTAGTCTGTTAAGCAATGTCTCGATCTCTGTCTGATGTTGGCTGTGTTGAGGGATTCCATCATCTTTTTTTACTTTCTGTAGAGTAACAATGGCAAATAATCAGCAAATTATTCATAACCTGTCAGTTGTTCACAAATTACTTAACCAGCTTCATACCTTTTCAATATTTTGTCCCAAATTCTTGTCTGAGCGTCCTACGGGAAAAGAATGACGCATAAGTCAAAATAAATTTACAGCAGAATCAGGTTAAGTTTGGATACAAAGGATTTTTTATTATGATACGCCTACATGATGCTATTATGTTCATCCTGAAGATGTTTACCTGTCTTATTTGCTGCATTGTCATCATCATTTACTGGCGATGCTGGTCTTTGTTTATTAGCTGGAGCCTGTTGAGATAACAAAAATCTTCATAAATATCTTTAGCTGACAATACCACATAAAATATTTGTAAAACAGAAAGGCTTATCAGTACCTTTCGTTTAGCTGCACTCATCTCTACCTCTTGTCCTTTGAGTGAACAATAATAACCAGTTAGTATAATGTTATAGTTCTATAGATTGTTTTTTTTTAGGGTTTGGTGAAACATTTATTTTCAAATATATTTCATAGAGCATCAACCTTACTTTACTTATTCATACATACAGTTTCACTATTATGTCTTTTAGTTGTCTGTTATGTCTTTTCTATGTATGCTGAGAGGAACAAGTGCTGCTAACACAAAACCAAGCTTATAATTACAGAAAGTGGTCTAACAAAAACAAAAATCAATACATGCATGAGAAAACTACAAAAAATTAGTCCTACAATCACTGGAAAAAAGAGAGAAGCAAAGTGCAAATGTTTTGCAAACGAGTGAATATGGATACAGCCACAGCAGGTTGTTTTGGTAATACCTCTAAAGGAAGCAGAGAGTTTTTTAAGTATTTTCTTGACTAGACACACTGCACTGAAGTAGACTGCAACACACCTCCAGGCTTGAACACAGAAAAACTTGAATAAGAAAGTGTTCATAAAGAGGGCAGATTGTTTATAGGGAATGCTATTTCCATTCCAGGTGATCAGTGAGAACATTCTGGTCCCACTGGGGGACTCATATCAACTCTCATTGAATATTAAAAGACCATTAGGCTCTATCTGAATTCATCAAATAATAGCTCCTAAGTCCTGTTCCTGGATCCTCATCCTTTTATTTTCGAGTTATGAGCAGTAAGGATGTTAAGTAGGGTGGGAAAGGAACTCTGGACTGCTGTCCTGAATCTGGACAGCCTTCAGCCTTACTGGCATCATTGTGCAACATAAATGCACATACTTTATTCTTGTAAAATTGGGAGTACAGATAGGGTGACCAGATATCCCAATTTGTGTTGGGAATTAGCTGCATTTCATTAACCGTCACCAATGTACAAATTGTAATTACGAAAGTGCAATTTTGAAAAATGTTTAGATACAAATTTTTACACTGCGATGGGACGGTCACATGAAAATTTTTATATTTCAAAAAACTGGAATGGAAATACTTTTTTTTCTTTTATTCTTACATCACACGAGTCATGTGATCTGCAAATGGACATTATATCCTGGTAAAAAGATGAAGAAGATGATCAGAAGTAGTTGGAGGATGATGGATTGACGCATTTGGATTAGTGAGGAGACATTTAGTTTGTGATAATTAGCATGATGACCACTAGAGCTGTGGCTAATATATGGATATGTCTCACGTGTTTAGAGTTGTGGCTTTCCAAGTAGTTTTAAAGACTTAATGCAAAAACAAACATGTTCAGGTGCAGTTTTAAATAGTATTTCTAATGTAATGAAATAACTGCAATGGAAATTCAACTTATGTTGCATTTTTGACTTCTATCCTGCTTTTCCACAAATAAAAAAAAAAATCCTACAGTACATATGAAACGGTCTAATTAGAAAGCAGAGAAGAAGTCATTGTCACAGAACTGTGCCAGTGTCCAACATTATGACGAACCTACATACAAGTGGAGGAGTTAATTTCTTCTAAAATGTTCATTTTTGTTTAAGTTATTCATTGCACATCTTTAAAATACTGCATCCTGTGTCATGCTGGCTGTTTAACTTCCAGCTGGCTGGCTTTGTGTTGTATCTCTTTTAGATGGTCACTTCACAGTGAAAACCATTCATGTTTGTTTGTTGTTAGATGAACTTACTACCTTATTTGTGTGAGGTGTGTGTGTGGAGTTCAGCTCCCTGTTGCACATAGATTAGTCTGATATGTGCAGGTAACACCCTGATAGATTGATGTTTGAGGATAAAAAGAGGGAAATTTTATGACCTGATGCACTGAGGTAAACCTTTTACTCTGTATCGAGTGCTTATCATACATTTTTGTGTTATACTTATAGATATAAACATGTTTTTTCTTTGTTTGCATTACTTGGAGAACAAACACTCACAAGTGAAGAACCGGGTTTTAGTTTATAGGGTTAATTCCTGACAAATCTGATTCTATTGACCAACCTAATGTGTTAGTTGTACATTTATTTATGACTCAAAATACAGAAAAAAAGAGATAAATTATGCATCGTCGTTGGACATTTAGAGGAAAGCAACAAAATGTATCTGAGCATCCTGTTTATGTCTAGGGTCTCATCCCATTTGAGTTATTAGTTTTCCAATAAAGTATTTCCACCAAGCTTCGTGGATTTTAAAGGTGGATTTAAATGAGAACTTTAAAAAACTGGGATATCCATTGCTAGCTGGGTTAAAATAATGCAAACAAGGATAATCAGTCTGAACTAAAAGATGACTGAACCAGAAGGCTTGGGTTATTAAACCATTTACAATGCCACCTCATAGCTGTATTCAATCCAAGAAGTCATCTCCCCCTACCCCATATAACTTTGTACTGATACTCTGAACTAATTGCATTTCCTGCAGTAATAGTGGAGGGGGAGGAGAAAAAATGCCCCTCCTGGTTCTTGAAAAGGTTCCTGCTCTAAAAAATGTACAGAATTATTAACTCATCAAAGAACACAATTATGTTTTACCAGTTTGGTTTCCCTTAAGCACTGCAGGCTCCATTGACTTGTATCCATGATGTTCGGGCTCCAGATCCTCTTTTTGCTCTCTATTTCCACCACGTATCCGGCCCGTAAAGCAGGATGGATTGTTTTCAGAAACCATAATCTCTATTTTTACCAGCAGCTCGGCTATCTCCTCTGCCTCTGACATACTCCTTATACACACGTGGTATCTATTTTCAGCAAAGCTCTCGTGGGCTTTCAGATCTTTTAGTGCATCCTCACATTTTTCACCTAAACTACGAGTCACAACTGTCATTACATAAGGCAGTGACTCTCTGCCAAAGTTTTTTTCCAACCACCGCAGCCCTGATTTGTAATGGTTCTCATGGTGACCATTTTTGATCAACAAAAGAAAGGCATTAATTCCCTTATTTAGGGTTGTTTCTTCAATATCTATAATGTCTTGTTGGCCGAGCAGGTTAATAACAGATATGTGCCGACCACACAAGTCGTACAGCATGGATGAAAAATGTGTATGTTCCTTTTGGGGAATTAAGATGTTTTTGGATCCAGTCACAATTGAACCTGCATCACCACATAATGCCAAAATAAACCCAGCATCATCTAAAACAAGAAAAAACAAAAGATTTTTTTTACCCAAAATGTGAAAAAAAAGACAAATGTGATTTCAGGATTAATAAGTGAAACATGAGTTTTTACTTTTCTTGATGCCTGTTGCAGCACTTGCTTCCATTGGTCTGTCATCATCTTCTGCAGAGCACAGTGTTAAATTAATTCAAACTTTTCTAGTTAAACCTAAATGAAATACAGTTGTTTTAATTATTAATATGTACAGAATGACGTTACCTTTCTCTTTGAATCCAGATGAGGCTGAGCTGTGGTTGGTCTCGTCCTCTGAGCTGGCATCACTCTCCTCTCTGCATACGGCCTCTTTAAGTTTCTCCATCAAATCATCCTATCAAACCAAGTATTTGTTAAATCTTAATACAGTTTGTTGTTGGTTTGTTTAATTAAGATCCCTATTAGCTTCTTTCAAAACAGTTCCTATTCTTGCTGGGGTTGACTTCAAACATGTTCCAACAGAACGAGGCACTGGTCTCTAAATGTAAATAGTCTGTATTAACAATAATACATCTCTTAGCTGACTGATGTGTCAAATGCTTTTGCATGTCACTGTTTTTGTGATAATAATATTCCTTATAAATTTGTTTAGAAAACAACTGTTTTTGTAGGTTTTATCAAATTACAAAAAAACCAACCTAAATCTTTTTCTATAGTTGTTTGACAGATTAAAATTTGCAGCTTAATGTGCCAGCAACACTAAAAGGTGCTGTAAAAAAAAAAAAAAAAAAAAAAAAAACACACACACACACACACACATACACACACACACATTTAAGAAAAGCTGCAAATTTTTCTCCACGAAACAGAAATGCATGCTACCACTGGGGCGAATCCAACTTGGCCTGGTCAAATTTGTCCACCCATAAATAATTAATCAACCAAAGAAATGGTGTTTGGCATCCTTTGTTTTGTGCCATCCATATAGTTGATTCTAGACAATACAACTCAATATATTGGGCTGACGCTTTTTCTGTAGGGAATAAACGCAAATTGATTAGTGTCTGTTATGTCTCCTGAAGCTGAAGCACTGCTAGTCTGGTCTAGTTTTACTCATAAATGTATTTTAAGACTACAAATATTTTAAAACTCCCATAACAGACATAGGTCATCCTTACATTATCCTTAAAAGCAACATAAAGTAGAGAGAAGAGAGCGATTGGGGAAAGCAAAAAAGCAGTGATGTGCCAATCTACCTTTATGATGACTTTGTGGTGATCCATCCATTCTGAATGTTTTTAACATAAGGAATATATACTTTTTGTTGAACATGCTTTAAGTTTCAGCTTTGTTACTTAAATCACTAATCATTTTCAGAGGAATTACTGATCTACTCATCCTGTTGTGTTCTCCTGTATGTCCATTTTCCTAAACTTCCATTTCAACAAGAACATTTCTATGAAATATACCCCAAAAGCAAAGTTGGTGCAGAAGCAAAGTTTCAGCGTCAACCGATAGGATCCAGTTTTTGAAATTACTAGCGTCAAAGACAATGGTATACTTACGATTTTCTTGGCTTTGTCAAATGATAGCGAAAACGATAGAAATTGTGAGTGTCCAGAGTTAAGTTTGCTGAATGATCTTTGTGCAATTGTGCAGAGCACATAAGCCTTCCAGTTATACTGGTTAGACAGACACACACCCTGTACTATACATTTGCATCATGCATACAAAACAATGCGTCACCAGACATGTTTTGGAACGGATGAGTTTAAAATTAGATTATGCTGCATTTTTCTTCTTCCTTTGTGTTTTCAGACAATGTGTTGACAATATCTGTCTTAAACAATCTAAATATGTGTAAGGTAGATAATGAGTTCCTAAAATGTTGTTGTGGCTGGTGCCCTAGGACAGTGGTTCCCAACCAGAGGTACTCGTAGGGCTGGGATCTATTCTACTTTGTGATATCCAACAAAAAATAAAACAAACTTTTTTCAACATAAGCATGTTTTTCTTGTAAGTTTGAGCTCACCTTTGTCTTTGACACACATCGAAACCAAGCAGTGGAACAGACCTGACCAAAGCAAGCTCAAGTGTCATGAATGTTGAAAACAAAGTCAAACTAATGGAGTCAGTCTGACATACTCTTTTCTCCCGCCTCAAAGTGAAGACGTTTCGCTCCCCATCCAGAAAGCTTTCTCACTTCAAAATGTCTGGATAGCATGGAGCTCCAGGCTTTATAGGGTAGCCTAACAAAGCATTGTTATGGCTTAGAAAACTTGCAAATTGAACTGAAAAAAACAGGTCCACCCTTTGTAATGAGGAGTCATTAAGGTGAGTGTTGGCCTGCAAATTAAACCGAAACTGGCCCACACCTGTTTAATGGCAAATCATTATGGACGTTATTGGCCTGGCTTTCAGGAGCGATGTTTTGACCACCTTATTGGTCAATGAGGATTGAGGTGATAGTGGGAAGGATTCAACTCTAAGCTGCGTTATAAGTTTTCAAGAGCTGAAACCTGAATCCACCCACTCTATTTAAAGTTGGTTTTTCTCTCTTAACATAAATGGCTTCCTTCACACCCCTTTCAAACCACCTGTCTTCTTTGTCCAACTTTTGTTTACTATTTTGTCCCCAATTCCTCAAGTGATTAAATGTGATTATGAGGGAGTTACTCAGAGGAGCTCCAGTTTTATAAAAGCACATTTATAGTATCACTTTATTTTGTATTTATTTTGATTCCTTACTAGCTTCTGGGCAACATATTTATGTTGTTTTTTATTTGGTTTGGAAAAAAACAACGTGCCAAAAAATTAAATGCTCAAGTTATTAGTTTTTAATTTAGCATTTGTTTCTGTTTATTCCAGGAGATCAGAACCTGGTAGATGGATGAAGAAAGGACGATCCAGAGGGCGAAGCCAAAGCCGAAGTCGGTGTCGTGATGTGGTGGTTTGTCAGAGCCAGGAGGTCAGAGATTGGGTGAGGCGGCGAAGGAGAATCCAAGTCAGAGTTAGATCCCTGTTCCAGGTACAGTACACAGTGGGGCTTACAGGCTGGATGAAAGCAGGCAGGTCAGGAGGCGGTTTCGGTTGTTACACAAGCAGGCAAACAGATCAGACAGGAACAGACAGGCTCAGAGGTCAAGAGGCAGAACAGATCAGGATCAGGTAGTCGGAGCATAAGTATCCTAGAATATTTTTCACCTACATTTCAAATGACCTGGTACTGATGACTGGTCTGAAGGCTGGTAAAATACAGACTAATGCAGGTGGATCAGATGATCAATAACAAGAACTGGGTGACAGTGGTGCCAGTGTAGGAGTTTGCCCTGAAATTAAAGGCTTGACGGTTTAAGCTTCAGCTTTCAGTGTCATTGTGTCCTTGGGCAAGACACTTCACCTGCATCGCCTACTGATGGTGGTAAGACGGTCTGGTGGCGCCAGTCGGCAGCCTGGCTTCTGTCACTGAGCCTGTGTGCATGAATTGGTGAATGGCTGAATGTAGTGTAAAGCGCTTTGAAGTCTTCTGACTTAAAAAGGTGCTATATAAGTACAGGCCTTTTACAGGCCATATAATCAATCTGAAAAATGGGGACTAATTAAATGAATATGAATTAGATCCTGTTGGGATCTGGAGGTCTGCCACCTTTCTCCAGCAGAGAGCTCCCTGGGTCTCCTGAGCTGAAGCCACCTGCACACCTGAGGCTGATTCATCTCATCAGGAGACCAGCTATATAAGCAGCGGTTTGACTTCTCTTCAGCGCCTGAGTGTTGACCAGTTTTGGTTAGCAGAACCTGAGCCTCAGGCCGACATAGAATCTCTGTCTGCTCTGGAGAGTAACTCTGATTCTAACCTGCCTCTGTCTTCTCTGCCTCTTAGGAAAACCTGAATGAAGTCTGGAGCTCTGGAGGAGCTCATGTTTGGAAACCTGCCTGCCTGCTCTGAGAAGCCAAACCTGAAGATCCTCAGTCTGAATTTCTCCACTTGTTCTCAGGAGAGAACTTGGAGTACAACTCAAGGTCTGAACCTCGCTAGCCTGAAGCTAAGCTCTGCCGCTGCTAAGCTCTCTGCTGAATCCCCAGTCTCTGGACCCAACCGGTTCCCTCTCTCCACCGATCAGTCTGAACCTCATCAGGTACAACTCAGAATCAAACCCTGTCAAGACATCATAGTTACCTGGCTAACCAAACTATCCCTCTCTGCAGAAGGAGTCTGTGAATCCAGTCCCGGACCTGTACCAGAACTAGTGCAAATCTATTACTCTGTGTGTTTATACAAATAAACTGTTGAACTTTTATCCAGTCTCCTGTGGTGTTCTGCATGTGGGTTAAGTCAGTTAAACCCATCATGACAGATCCATTCATCCTACTAAAACCCTAGTGACGGGCTGCTCTGCAAACTGAATTGAGGTTAACAGTTTAATTACCAACTATTATGGTATAAAAGTAGTATATGCGCACTGCTGCCTTGCAGCAAGAAAATCCATGTTTCTGGCTCTTTCTGCATAGAGTTTGCTTGTTCTCCCTGAGCATGCGTGGGTTCTCTCTGGGTACTCTGGCTTTCTCCCACAGGCCAAAAACATGACTTTTAGGTTAATTGGCTTCTCTAAATTCTCCTTAGGTGTGAGTGTGTGCATGAATGGTTGTTAGTCCTGTTTATCTCTGTGTTGCCCTACGATGGACTGGCAACCTGTTCAGGGTGTACCCCGACTCTGGCCAGTATACAGCTGGAGGTAGGCACCAGCACCCCTTCCAAACCTGCTTGGGTCTATTTTTATTGATCCATCTATTTTCTGTAGAAAATGGATGGAGTATATGTTGTTGGATTTACAAAACATCGTAGGTGAGAAAATGGGTGACATAGTGAAACAAAAGAATGGTAGTTAAAAAGTGTGGTAGATGATTGCTTAAACAGCACAAGGCTTGAGAAGCAAAGCCCAATCAAATGCTTGGAGGAGAATGAGAAGGGGTCGATTTTTGCTTGAAGCTTCAATACTGACCATAGAAAACAATGTTAGACTGAGTCCACCAATAGATTAGATATGAATGGAGAGGGGGGAATAAACGTATACAGAACATGGCCAGCAGATCTGAACAAGTGACATTAGAAGCATCTTACCTGGACTTTTGAGATGGATAAAAGTGCATTGCTGAAGTCATTCAAAGCAAATATCCCTTCTGTGTACTGAGTGCATATGTGATACAATAAATGGATACATTTCAGTACATAAGTAGGTTTCTATTTTTTTTTCGACAAGCCATATTAAGTCATAATATAAGTCGTCATAATAAAAATTACTAAAACCAACAACTGAAATATTTAATGACTATAATAAATAAATGTACTTTTTGAATCAATTAGCTGAAATAATTAGCTCTTAGATGTTGCTATAAGCATTTTTGGATGCTCTTATCATGATGAGGACTTAAGATCTTCAGAAAAGCAGCAAAAATGAAAAAGAGAAACATGTAAAATTCAAAAAAGTCTGACGACTCGGAAGGAAAACGTAAACCAATAAAATTAGCTTAAAAATTTGGCACAGTTCTGTATGTTCTTGCAAGCCATTTCCTCATAAAGTCCAAATAGTTAAAGCCTTTAACTCGTTAGTTAGACACAAACACTAGAGTGAAGGATGCTAAGAGTCCATACATTTGTTATTATAAATATATATATATATTATTTTAAATTAGTACCTTGTTAAATACTTATTAGTTATGACAAATATGTTGGCAGGACTTCATCTCCTACTGCAGCATGTGTGGAGACGGTTGTGACCTGTCTGGAAGGTCACAACCGTCTCCCTGGAAAACGCTACTTTAAGTCAAGATAAGTTTAATTATAAACTAAGGAAGCAGGTTTATTAGTCAGAGTCCTGGTGAGAAGAAAGAGGAAAACATTCAGAAAAGGTCATCAGCTATTTATACGCTCCCTGTATTAGTGGATACTGTGATGACAAGACTGTTGTAAAGAGGAAAAGTTCACATTAGATTAATTTGGAACGAGAGTTGTAGTTTTTTTAAGACTTTATGCTTCGTTAAAATTTTTTTCATTCTAAAACAGCACTAACTATCCATATACAATAAAATCTATATTCTATTTATTGTAGAAGCATAATAACACTATGGGAATTTGACAAAAGTCCCACCATTAATTTGATCTAATAGCAAAAAAGATTTTTTTTTTTTGTCTGTTTTTATTAATTTTTTTGATAATGCAACTATGGTGAAGGATAACAGTAAAATAGTTATTTTCCTATCAGAACAAGTCACTTCAGGATGGTTTGGCATACAGCAAAGCATGATTATGACAATTATCACCTGATGCCCACTGTTACCTACAGGGTGGATCTGTCTCGCTTTGGGTCGGGTTCTTTTCCTAAGTTTCAGGTAAACCCAGTTGGGGTGCAGGACACTATGAACCCTTTAAATAAATCCTAAGAAATCAGCATGAAAATAGTTCACCAAAAAGTCTGACATCAGACATCTTTATGAGAACATTTTAAAGGCTTTTACACAACTCAACTGTTGGTGTCAATAAATGTTCAGAGCTCTGAATTATAAAGGCTTATTGTGTTCTTTAAAAAACAAACAAACAAAAAAAAAAATGGTTTCTAAACATTTTTTTTAAAGTATGGATTTACATTTTAACACTAAACAAGTCTGAATATATTTGGAAAAAATTAAACTGAGAACAGAAAACGGAGTAAAAATCTCGATAAATAAAATGTGAAAGTTTATCCCAACATTTCCCTACATGGGGTTTAATAAGTAATGTCCCTGACTCACTTCCAGTTTTTTGATCTACTTGAAATTTTGGATGTGCCATTACTCATATCTCTAAAGTGGCACATTACAGCGCTGAACTTATTGTGGTTTCTGGTTTAAAGGTGTTTGAGCTGAGTGAAGTGTGAAATGGAGCCGCTTGAGCAAGAGCAGGGGTTTAGTTTTTGTATTTGAAAGGACGTACACCACAGGAGAGTTTTAGTGAAATGAAAGTGACTTATGGAGATAATGCACAATCATCATCAAGTCTCACGTGGTGTGCAGCCTTTCAAATACAAAACCCGGATCACCACATTCTAGGATTTTTAAAGAATATATTGGTAAATTGTGGTGAAAAAAAGAACTATTCAGTGAATAACAAAAGTTCAACTTAATAATTTGCAGCATATTATTTGTGGCGATGACAGAGGTTAAATTCTTTACTAGGTTTAATCACACTGTAGTTGGTGTTTTAGACCATTTTCACTGGAAGGGGCTTTTAAATGCTTTTTACAGAGCCACTCCTCCATTGCCGGAACGGATGATTTAGATTAGAAAAACAGCCAAGAAGTTGTTTTTTCTATTGGCTTCAATGTTAGAAGGTTATAAAAATATCAAAAACTGACTGGAAGCTAGCTTTAACACAGTTTTAATTTATAGTTAGCCATCATGTCTATATCTTAGTGCAGGGGTCTTCAACGTTTTCTAGGCCAAGGACCCCCAAACTGATGGTGAGATGGAACAGGGACCCCTTAAAAATTTATGTTGTAAATTATTAATTGTGTTTATCAAATGGTCCCATAGTCACTTTATTACAGATGGCGTAATGTATCGAAAGTAATTTCTCCCTGGGATTATTAAAGCATTTCTGATTGTGATTCCTGGTTTATGGGACAGGTGTTGTGAATGAAACAGTGCCCAGCTTGAAAGAGCTCCTGTGTGCATTGATGACATCTTCTGCCTCCATTTATTTGTTTACTACAGTGTGTTGAATTCATGTTAATGTCGATTTAAAGACATTTCAATTAGTGGAAAAAATTGCAGGGGGAGTATAAAAAAAAAAAAAAGTCTAATCAACCAAAACTTTTGCAAAGCCCTTTTGAAGACCTCCTTCTTAGTGGCTAAAAAAAGTTTTTTTTTAAGAAGTTCAGTGAAGTTCCAGGCTCAAACCTACAGGAGACAGGCCATTTATGCTGGAAACTCCTCTGATATGGCCGAACTTAACCCTTTATAGGGCACTCAGTGAAATAACTTTGAAAATCAAACTTTCAAGCCTATAGTGTTATTTGAATCCATGACATCACTGTATTACCTTTGTATGTAAATAATGTCAATAACCAATTTATTAAGAAAAAAAAACAAAAGTGATTCTACAAGAAATTCATGAAAAACACTGAGAGTGAAAGAAACATGTTTTTTTGTTTTGTTTTGTTTTTTGTTCAATATAACCTTAGAGGCATTAATGCTGATACTGGCACTTAAACTTTTTTAGTTTATAAACCTAAATATAATTGTTAGTTAGGCTTTTTAACTTATTAACTTTTCAATTAGCTGTTTACCTTATTTTCTTGAGTTAACTTTTTTTTTAACTTAATTTACAGTAGGTAATATATCATATAAGGGTTCGTATAATTGGTCAAATGCCAAAATAAGATGTACAGCCATGTAGCAGCAGTATCTTTACTGAATGGCTGGATATAGATCTTGTGCTTCTAGACCTCACTGAGGGGACTACATTTGTAAGGGGTATGCAAGTGTTCAAAAATGGTAATTTGCCCTATTAAGGGTTAATTAATCATACAAAAAATAGACTGAAGAATTCCCCTTTAAAGTGATGGTAGCCAGTTATCACACTGGCCATGTTTCCACCAGTTTTGCATTATATGGTCAGCTTTCCCCCCTCTTAATATACGAAATATCAATGTGAAAACTTCCTAAATTCATTTTTAATATTAAGTCTGCCTGACGACCTGGAACATTAAAGTGTGACAGGTAGGATAGACTACCTCATGAACAAAACTTTGAGCAGTAGCACATTGGCATTGCACAACCTCAGATTTAAGCAGCTAGGTTTTCTGCATCTACCTCTGATCAATGCATTAATGTTAAGTATAATTGTGTACCTGCAGCATGACATTTGGGCAATTAATCTCTTTAATTATCATCCTACCGCTGATTCAAAGTGATGATATTGTGGGCGAGTGCTGAACCAGTCAACAATGTCCACCCGTTAACATTTAAGTCATGTTGGATCAACAACAGGAAGGCACAGTGTGCAGCTCTCCTGTTATGATGGGTCCCCTGCAAAGCTCCTGTAGTGGCTAATTCTGAAAAACATAATGAATCTGATAGTATTAGTTTGTGCAGTTTTATGGTGAAGTTGAAATATATTCCAGTATGTGTTTAAATAACCTAAAGTGAGTATTTTAAGATTTTTTAAAAGATGTTTTGGGGATGTGTAAGTTTTTTACAGTGTCATCAAGGTTAAAGATGACCTCCTCCACTTAAAACCAGTCTTCTCCACCAATCACATCCCTCCGTTGGCTCCTGGATGAGGAGGATTTGAAGACAAAGTATTCCAGATCTGCACATCTTTCTGCAATCGGCTCCTGCATTACTGACCTGCCGGGTTTAGCCTTAGTTGGTTGTGGGAAGATGTTTTGCTCTCAGATGCAGGTTCTTCTAATTGCTTTGTGTTCCTCCATGCTGGTGGTTCCTGTGAGTGCTGCTGAAGGAGTGAACGAACTGCTAGAAGCCACACAAGAAGAACTTATAAGTGATGAGGTAGGTTTACTGACAAATATCTATTTTGATTAGAATCAGTCTTATAGGATCTAAAGGGGTGTATTATAGCATTTTTTTCTGCTGAATTAAAACATCTTAAATTAAATGTTTTTTTTTGTTTTGTTTTTTTAGAAAAAGGAAATGATAAATTTTTACCAAATTACCCTACTAGATTCCAGTTATTTGTATCCAACTATTGTATATTTAATGTTATTCATTTGCCCTCACTCTACAGTCTATTTCTCATTTCTGTTTTTATTTTTTATTTTATTTTACCTGTGTGGATATGCATGCCTCTTTTGGCACTTTATTTTTGTACTTGAATTTACCAGTGGTCATATCACTTTGTAAAAAATAAATTGTTTTCAGATATTGGCACAGCTCGATCTGAAGAATTATCAAATCAAGTTTTTTAAATCACAATTTTTGTTTTGTGCAAAAAGCTAAAATATTGATAATAGAAATAAAGTGGTAATGATTAAATAGTTTTAATCAGTCAGAATGTTAACATTGTTTTTATTAAATATTTCAGGGTTTAAAGTTACTAATTGCAGAAGTGGTGTTTTGACAGTTACTTCTTTCTTATATTTAAACTTTTTTTAGTTGTTATTTTTTTACCCTTTTTGTCATAATTTTTTGTCGTCAAAACAACTGAACCCTTCAATTTCATTAATTTTTTTCCTACCTAGTGGGCCTCTTAACCAAGCTTTGAAAAATTGTTCTTGGAAAGAGCAACATCGAAGTCCATCCACTAGATGGTGCTATTTCACCTAATTAAAGCAGGCGGTAAACCTCAAACCTCCTCTAAAGCAAGCTTTTCCAATTTAATCCTCTAACTGTTTCAACAGTTTTGTCTTTGATAGGTCTAAACCACCAAAATAAACATAACTGTTCAAGCTGAACAGTTTTAAAAGGTAGTATTAAGTGGAAAATATTTATAGGCAAAATTTGTACAGTAGTTTAGGTTTTTCTTTTTCTTAGGTAAGTTTTCACTTTAATCTGAAGCTGCAGAAAAATAAAATAAATCCGTCAATGTTGCTGATAATTATTGCTTATATTCTTAGAAAATATTGACTATGATATAAACAAATAAGCTTTTAAATGCCATTTGTGTATTTTGGTGTATAAAGTTTTTTTTTTTTTTTTTAAGTTATTACAATTGTGTCATTACCGCTTTAAAGTGGTAAAATTTCCATGAAATTCAAATGTATTTGAACAATTTAGGCTAAATTATTTCTGAAAGCGTGATGCGTCTAAAATAATAATAAAAAAACATTCTCTGCAGTTTTTTTTATTAAGCCTCCACTAAAGTATTTTCACTCTAATACTTCAGAAAAATTAAGACATGAAAATAAAGTTGTTGCATGTTTTTTTTTTTTTTTCAGCAACAATTTTAAGGCTTAATAATTACCAATAATTCTAGGACTGTACTCTGTAAATCACTTCTTACATATTAGTAATGCTAAGGATGTGTAACCTCTGCTGGCCTTTAATAAATCAAAATATATTTTCTGCTGAATTAGTTTAAAGAACAGTGTGTTTCTGTTCTTCAGGATCTAACTGATTTGATCCTGCTGAGGTTTATCTCGGAGCTGATGGCGTCCAGGGGAGAAATGATGCACCGCGACCTTGAGGAGGATGAATTAAGCGGCAGGGGGAGGCTGATGAGGCGACACATCCGCTTCGCTCACAGACAGCGAAAGGCCGGCTGCCGAAACTTCTTCTGGAAGACTTTCACCTCATGTTAGCATGAGACATGTTAGGACTTTTCAACCTGGGATGTTTCTGCTTTTAAATAAAATAAATCCTCTCCTGCAATACAGCAAGTTACTGCAAAGTAAGAAGTATATAGAGATTAATCAATCAGTGGTCTTTAAAAAGGCTCTTATTATTCATTTTTCAGTAAATCTGATTGCTCTGGTATTCAAACTGCTGATAATAAAGAGTAAATAACCTTTGATCCTTCATTTACTGCATTAGGTTACAGAAAATATTACATTTAACCTAGAAAATATACTAAATGCTTAAACACGTTTCCATGCTAAACTAATATATTATTCAAATGTTCTAGATATATTCACCCTTTTGTACACACTCATTAAAATAACTGCTCTTTGTTTCAACATGTTTATTTAGACCCCCCCCCAAAAAAAAAACAAACAAAAAAAAACATCACCAATGAATCAAACGCTTGCAGGATCACCCTACGTCTTAAAAACACGAGATGCCATGATTCAGCAACTTAAAGATATGAGCAGCACTGAAATGTTTAACCTAATGGTGGAAAGTGAAACACTTCTAGATATAAAGTAACAATATAGGGGGAAAAAGTATATAAATTGAAGCGTTTTGGCTGAATTCACAGTAAAACAAGTTTAGAAAGAGAATGAAATCCTTCAGGTAAGATTTTCAGATCTGGAGCCCTTAAAAAACATGTTCTGTTATTTTATTTTTATCTGTACAAAGGGTCCATTATAGGACCTAAATGATTACAGGTAAACCTAAAACATGACACCAGGTTCTAAAGTAACTATGAGCCATTTATTAATTTAACAAATTCAGATTTTTTTTCCCCAAAATGGGCTGGTTTATAAATTATGGCTTCTGAAAATGAGCAAGTCGTGACAGAATCTGTAACTTTACATCCTTTTTAATGAGAAATAATTTACCAGAGTAAATTCAGTTTTTCTCCGATTAAATTGACCATAGAGTTAAGCAGCTTTGCCCCTCCCCCACTTGTTGTTGCAGATATTTTTTTTCCCTAAATCAACAACAAAAAACAGAGTAAATTGGTTACAGTGAAGGATTTTCAATCGTGAAACACAAACAGAAGTCCTGCTGTGGAAATGGGAGCGCCAGCCATCACTGTTATTATAGCAGGCTAACGACCTGTGCAGACATTCGTACTGTTTTAGCCTGCCTCCATTAACACAGCAGAATGGCAAAAGGTGGATCCTTCTGAATAAGTTTATTTGAAACATGAAAAAAAAAGACTCAGCTCATTTTTAAAGATTTCTGATCTGAACATCAAATAAAATAGATGTAACAGACAACAGCAACAGTAGGATAGGTATTGCTTTTTGTTGCTTATTTTCATTTAAAATGTTTATAAAGGACATGTTTAACAATGAAACCTCAGTATCTTTAAACCAAGGTGTCAGGCTCCGCTCTTTATCTTCCCTTCAGAGCCTGTGTGGGAGCTTTTGGGCCGCGATTAATACTGTCGCTGCAGAGCCTGAACTCTGACAGCATGAGTGCAACTATGAACGCAACCAACCCACTTTAAACGCGCATTCAATCCTACATCAATCAGCCACTATAGAACGGACATGATTCTAATATTTCTGTAGGATCAGATTAATGACACATCTATGACCTTGTGAGTCTCGTATTCATTTCTCTTTGCGCCTGCAGTTCGAACGTAACACAAACACCAAATACAAGCAAAAATCAAAGCATTATATCTGACCGACGGAATTTAGAAGCTAGAGAGCAAAAAGGACCTAATGCTAGAGTGTTTCATACAAGCTAAAGGAGTAAAAACTGGTTGTTTTAACGGCACATTCTTCACGTCTACATGTCGAGGTTATTTCACAGGACGTTCCTTTGATCTAAAGGCTTACAAACCAAACCAGCACCGTATTTACAATCACAGTATTATGTTGATTCTGTGCTCTTGTATGCAAACTGTGAGGCAGTTCAGTTCTTTGATAGTGTTTTACAAAAATAGACTTTTTTTTTTCTTCTTTTCCCGTGTTTGAAATATGTTTAGACAATAGGTGTGAGCTGAAACTGTGCTGTCCCAACAGGTTTTTTTCCTAAAGATATAATCAGTACCGAAGGGAAAGTGGAGCCCAAGCTGCCTGCAGATCAGGCTACAGTCGTACTAATCTGAGCTAAACATGATTAATAGTGCACCAAAAACAATAATATCAACAAAAGAGTGGCAGAGTGATGCAGACAACAACAAATGAGGGGGAAATGATAAGGATCGTTCGTGCCGTTATTAATGTGCTGCCTGGGGGGGTTGGATCTCTGAAGATTAGGGAGGCAGAAACCAGGAAGAGGAGGAGATCTGCTAGCAGTCGGTGGAGATTTTGGCCGAGAGGTCCTGGATGCGCCGGGCGCTGCAGCTCTTACACAGGATGTGTCCATCCAGCGGGTAACAGCCTCGACCTTCGCCTTCAGACGACAGCAGCAGGCCGCATTCCTACCAGACACAAACATACAAGTCTTTACCTTACACCAATCAATCCACGTTTGGATAGATCTTGCTTTAGAAAGGTTCCCCTGAATCACATGTGTCTGGCTGGAAAAGTTGAGTGTTTCATTGGAAATGATTATTTATGTAAATCACCGCCCTGTGGAAGCTAATTTATTACCTGGTGGGTGTTGGGTCACAGACATGTTTCATGGTCTGGTTCTGCTTCAGTTTTAACAATGAATTAAAGCAATCAGTCCCTCTAATGCTTGGAAACCTAGAGATGGGTCGAGCAACAGCGATGCGCCGCCACATGTGTCGAGCTCTAACAGACAAAAACCTGTGTCGGTGTGGGTATTATTTCAAGAAAGTCACGTGATCGATACAGGCGACGCACTGAATTGTGTTAATAAGCGCTTCTGTCAAAAAAATAAAACCTCTGATCTTTTGTTGTTTATCATGAAATGAATCAAGAAATATGGAGCATTTTCTAGTTATGTCATCCTGTTCCCCTCAGTTATCACTCAACTTTTCTGTATTCAAGGTGACTTATTTGTTTGCTGTTCTTACGGTCATTAGGGATGGGAATCGAAAACCGGTTCCTGTTCAGAACCGGTTCCGTATTTTCCGAATCCATGGCATCGTTTGGCAGCTCGCTGAACGATTCTTTTTTCGATTCAGCACTAGAGCCTAGAGCGCCGGTTTTGGGGAGCACGACTTACGTCACGTTTTTTTACGTAAGTTACGTAAGTTACGCAAGTTGGAAGAACTATTCGAGGAGGAAGACAACGAGCTGCGGTCACTTTGTGAATCAAAGCCCCGTCTTTCCTTAGCCCAGAGGGTAGATCAGGAAATCCAGCTCTATAAAAGCTTGCCCTCCATCCCCTGCAGGGATAGCGCCACACTGGTGGTGGAACAAGCAAGATACGCTGCCCTTGCTATCTGGACTGGCTGAAAACTACCTCTGTGTGCAGGCTTCCTCCACCCCATCTGAGAGGGTGTTCTCCACGGCTGGAGACACCATAAGCCCTGAAAGATCCTGTATCCTTCCAGAAAAAGCAGATATGCTCATCTTTCTGCAAAAGAACTGTTAATTTTCCCTACTACTGTTTTATAATTAGTATTTTTTGTTATTTAAAATAGGTTATTATCCCATCATTTGTTATTAGACATTGTTGGTTATTAAGTTTGTTCTTGTATTCATTTTTCATTTAAACACAGATGTTACTCCAGTTTCACATTTCCTGTGGACATCTTGATCTTGTTGAGTTTGTAAGATTGTGCAATAGTTAAGTACCGGTAAACAAAGTTGATGCTGATAATCAAACTGTTTGTTCTCCCCTTTTCCCCAAATTGGAATCGAAAACAGAATCGATAAAGAATCGAATCGTTTCATAGAATCGAAAAGGGAATCGGAATCGTGAAAATCTTTTCAATTCCCAACCCTAACGGTCATTATTTTAAATATCAAAGAGAATACCTGTAGTGACTTTAAATGTCCAGCAGGTGTCATTGTATTCAGCTACACAGTATCAACACAGTTTGCAAATGTGTTAAAACTAGGGATGCAACTAACAACTTTTTTGCAAATCGATTAATCTTTCGATTATTTTTTCGATTGATTAATAATCAGATAGCAAAAGGTTCCTTAAATAAGATTTTTAACTAAATTAAACCAGGTGACAGCCTCGACCTTCGCCTTCAGACGACAGCAGCATGCCGCAAAAATTTAATATTTTCACGTACCCCCTGCAATGCACACTAGGGGTACGCATAGCCCTTGTTGGGAATCACTGCATAATTTGACGATTATTTCAAAAATGGATTAATCATGATTGTTTCAGCCCTAATTGAAATGCCTCATTGCACCTCATGAACCAATCATATTTTAATTTAAATTTTTTTATTTTAAAGTCCAGCCAAGATTTAAAGAGAAAATCTACAATAGTTTTAAATACACACTTTTTCATGTATTTAGTTTTTTAAATAAAATTATTTCCATATTAAAAAAGAATTGCTTCACATAAATCATTCCCAATTAAACTCAGTATTAAGAGTGTAAGAAAGAGTTTCTTTTCCACTCATGATGTCCGACTCACCTCACAAACATAACAGTGAACATGGAAGCTGCGGTCAAGAGCTACAATCCTGACGGTCTCCTCCTGGCCCGGTTCTGGCATGATTGGCTCTCCACATACCGAGCAGCGAGGGGCGTACTTCCTGTTGAGAAAGACGCCGCTTTGGACAGTCAGAAAAAAAAAACAGCAGCTGGGGAAACAGAGACGGCGCTCTGTGAAGTGCAGGGGGGAAGCGTGCGTACCTGTGAAAGTCGTCTATGCAGTGTATCTGAGACGTGGCGTCCACGGTGAACGGCACCCCGTCCAAGTAGCAGTTACAGACCACGCAGGTGAAGCAGCGAGGGTGGTAGGCTTTCCCCATGGCCCGCAGGATCCGGTCCAGGATGGGCTTGGAGCATTTAGAGCAGCGCTCCAAAGTGCTCTGAAAACAAAGGAGGGAAGAGGAAGATTTAGAAGCAAAAAACCTAAAATGTGATCCATCTTTTAGTTGGTTCCCTCACTTACAATGTAACAGCTCTCACAGTAACTCTTCTTATCTAGGGCGTAGAATGGTTGCCCTCGCAGTCGGGCGTGGCAGGTGATGCATGTGAAACACTCTACGTGGAAAACCTGCTCCATTGCGATGCAGCCACTGCCATCGCCCACCACGTTATCCCCGCAGCGCGCGCAGCGACCTGAGCACAGAACCTCCATTTATTCTTTTATTAAAAGTAAATATT